AATTGCTGTAATGGATTGGGTGCATTATGTGTTAAAGCCCTTCTGGAAATCACCTAACAAAACCTTTTATGGTATAAGTTAATATGGACCCAAGAGCTCATTTCCTCAGATGTATTAATTAGATTATATAGACAAGGGATTCTCAAACTCTGCATTACAAAAACTGCCCACTGCAGACTTACACAAGCAAAATGAGGAGCAGAGTCCAGAGTGAGTTTTGATGGTGCTTCTACTTTGCTTGTGCAAGTCTGTGACAACCCCCCACCCCCACCCCCAGGTGCTCATGCCCTCCAGGAGTTCCCAACTCACAGTTTGAAAATTCCTGATGTAGAATGTAATCCACAGGAATATAAGCCATCATAATGTTTGTTAGTCTTTAAGTTACCACAAGACCTGTCATTCTGGCAGCATGGACTAACACAGATGCTCCTTGGAAATAGTTGAAAGGCACAGTGTGAGGATATAGAAGTCCCCCTGTATTCATGTGTGTGTTTGAACAGAATCATTTGAATGTCCATAATATGACCCAGATAATGAGGAAGAAAGAATGATTTTGGAAGCCTAATCTTCAGTATACAAGTGGATATTAAGTGAAACTAAAAAAATCTGCAGTCAGTCTCAGTCAAGGCCTTCATATAACCTTATGACATACCTCCGAAAATGACACATTTCTCAGAAAAGTTGACTTATGTCCCCAATAAAAAGCTGCTTCCAAACTGTAAGCTTTCACTACATTAAGTTACGATCCTTCTATCCTGACTTATCTTGCAAGTTCTTCATGGTCTCTGACTGCTGTGGACTGCTGCGCGCATGTTTTTTCTTCTGTCAAGATCCCACTAGATGCCTGGGTGACAGCTTATCTGAACATCTGCCCTGCTACCTTGCACCATTTCCTCTTTGTCTTTCCCTGATTGGAAGGGGTGGTAGCCTCTGCTCACCCACACAGGATGTGGGGGAAGCCAGTGGGAGGGCCAGCTCCTCTGCACACGCCCCTGAACCACACAGCTGGCCCTGGCAGTAAGCACCAGACTGTGGGGTATCGGTGCTCCTTAGAAATCTTCTGAAGGCCTCAAGGCTTGAGGTAGGATAAAGGGGGTCACCTCCGAGAGGTGGATTTAGAAGAAGACATACTCAGAGCTGAGACAAAGTGAGGAAGAGGGAGAAGCTCTCTGGACCACTCACAATGTTCTTCCAGCTTTCTGCCATGAAGCAAGCGGTTTTCAACTTCCTCTTGAGCAATGAACGTAGGCAAGCAGGCAGAGGGAGACACAGTTATGACTTAGCTGGAAAGAGCGCTGTGCAGCTAGGAATTAGCAGAAGACCTATATGGAGCTGGGTGGAGCTGGGTAGCGTTGGCTGGACCTATGTGGATCTGTGGATGGGTTTTGTGGAAGGAGTTTACTTGGGTAGAGGGTAAAACAGCTGTGGCTCAACATAAGAAAAGGCTCAGAGCTGCTTTGTGCTGTTCCTACTCAAACGGGTAGCTAGAAGGAAACTCGGTCGTTATGTATCTTTGTTTATCTGTCTACCTATCCTCCATCCATCCATCCATCCATCCATGAAATTTTTAAACTTCCCCATTCTGGTTGGACTCTGGGTGATGTTTATTAATTCTTATGTATTGATTTGAAATAAGTAACCTGTCCCTGGCCGGTAATTAAACAGTCACTTCATTCTATTCTCAAAATAACTTTGGGAATAGACTGGAGAGAACATGAGAAAATGATGGGCCTCAGGCCAACACCCGACACTGTAGCCCAAGCAACTCCTATGTTGTACCTCTCAGATGTAGTGGACTTCAGTTCCCATAATTCCCAGCAGACAAAGTTATTCAGGGATTCAAACTTTAAAAAGGGATAGCAAAGAGCCTTTTTAAAGGCTCTGTATGCCAACTGGATAGCCTTTAGTCTGATTTGGCAGGTCTTTTCTTATGTTCTTATATCCTTACAAACTTCAGTCCAATATCTCTGGAAGACATCAACTTGATGAAGGCTGCTCTAGGCAGGAGTAACTCCTTCCCCTGTTCATGTTTTGATTTCTAACTGACTATTCAGGTGGGGTCTATGGCAGGGGGGCAGGTCAATAGCATCAAAATGGTGGGCATGACCAGGATGATTGAAGCCCTGCATCTTTTTGTCTATATGATGCACAGTTGACCCTCCTTCTGATTGCCCTGGTGACTATTTTGGAGAAGGGCCTAAACCAACTTTTAGACTATCTATCTCTTCCTAGCATACCTATGACACTTATTTTGCTTTATTTGCTTCCTAATGGGAGTGTTAAAACAGCTTTTGACACCAGTAGTGCCTTTATCTTCTTTAGGCAGAACATAAAGATGCTGCTTATTATCATATAAAGCCATAATTGACTGTAATGGCACAGAGCAAGCTGGTCTCTGCAGTTGATCATTCCCTGTGCATTAGAATTCCCTTGAATTTCTATGCTCCTGGGCATTTTTAATTATTATTTGTTTCCTGGATTTATAGACTGCTGACTCCAACAGATTTATAGCAGTTTACAAACATGAACACTTCGTAAATCCTCCCTATCTGGGTTAGTCTTTAGTACTCAAAGTTAAACTAGAGGGAAATGAATATTTTGTATGAATTGGAGTTCTATTCTTGCTCTTGCTCTTGGTGCTTTTATTACATGTCTCAAGCTGTTAGGACTATGACTATCTAAAATGCTGAATCAGCTAATGTGATTTCACTGCATGTTTTGATTCTAAAAATTCTACAAAATGCAATAGGTGCTAAATATCAGCTTGGCTGTACGCTACAATAACATCAGGTGGAGGGCAAATATTTAGCTATTTTGTCACACTGTGCTTTGACAATGCAAATACAATGAGATGCCTGCATTTCATAAATGTTTGTGTACATATATACATTATGTATGGCTATGGGAACAAGCTTGGAAAGTAACTGTGATCTCAAAGTCAGTAATCCTTAACCTTTTCTGATCTGATGGCATATATTTATATTCCCAACCTGTAATATGGGATCACACATTTATTTATTCAAATATTCTTCTCAGCTACCATGGCTGTTTAAAAAAACCAGAAACAATGCTAAGCAGGATTGGATGGCTAGAATTTAGATGAATGAACCAGCAGCATTATGGAATTATATATTGACTCTCTTAATGGTTTTGACTTTTTTTCCTTTTCATTTAAATAAGCAAATGTTCTAGTGACCAAGGCGATCAGCACGGCTGTTTATTCTGAAGTTCAGATGTCTCAGTGTCTTTGTGGAATCCACCATAAAATGTCATTAACCCATAAAATGCCATTAATCCTTCCTTGTTGTATCCTGGAATGAGGGGAAATCTGGCTGTTTGTTAAGGAAAAGTCAATTCTCCATAGCTGAAGCTGGAGTTGATAGAAAAGGATTAACTCCACGTTTTTCTGACTGGAAGGCCATGGCTTAAAACATCTTCTTTTCCCTTAGAGGAAATGCATCTCTTTTCAGTCTTCTGCTCTGCCTTCTGGAGGAAGCAGTGAATTTCCAGTGGCTCAATCTTGGGAGATAAAAAGAAAATAACGAAGACCAAAACCAAGGCTCTTCCCCATCCTGCATGAAAGTGCTTTCTGGTAACCATATGCCAGTTGATTGGCATGCTGGCAGGAGGCCACACCTGGAAAGCACTATGATGTTGGGCCAGGAAAATAGCCTAGGAGATGGGGGAAGAGCTTGATTAGGTCTCCAGAGGTAGCAGAGTATGGAGGGAGAAAGTGGTAGTGTTGGCTTTAATCCTGACTACAATGCTTCAGGGCTGAAGGCCACTGAGAAACCCTTCCCCTCCACCTGTGCTGACTCCCTGAAGCCCTGAAAGAAACATTCTTCCCCCTCATTCGTGAGGAGCGTTGGGAGAGCAAAATCTGACTGGCCAGCTGGAAGCTGCCAGAGCAGGCAGGCAAGATGGCAAGAGGAGTTAACAGGCCCGATGGCCCCTCGAAAGCCTGCTCTCCCGTGGCATGCTGGCACGAGGCCATCCCTGAAAGCGCTACAGGGCTGGACTAGGAGAACGGCCTAAGAGGTGGGGGTAGGAGGCAGCGAGGGATGCCAGCAGCAGCATCCTCCAGCAGCCAGCTTCAGCCTAGGGGTTTGGAGGAGCAGCACAGCAGCACACATCTTCCCAGACCACCATGGTAGCAAGCCCCCAAGATTCCCCCAACAGGACAGTTGATGGAAGAGCTGGAGGATGCTGGATATGGAGGGATATTGGGGTGGGTGACAGTGACAGCATTTAGAGAAGGACAAGGGAGGCATGAGCTGCCTAGTGATGTCAGGTATGGCAGCTCAGAGGCTAGAGGAAGGGTACTGGTGACTCAGGAAAGGCACAGGAGCCCCCAGCTGCCCTATTTCCCCACCCAAAAAGTGAAGCTTTTCCAAGAGCAGAATTATACATGGCTCCAACTATGGAGGGAGCGGGCGCCAGCTGCTTGCACTTATTAGAGAAGCCCATCTAGTGGGTCCTATTCACCCACATCACTTGCCTATTTGCAGGCAAGAGAGAAAGGGATGAGAAGGCTACAGTCTCTAAAGTCGTCTTTCCTGTTTAGGAAAGAAAGAAGATTGAGAGGACATGAGCAGTCCAAGGGTCAAGAAGAGACCCTTACTTTACTGCCCTGTGCTGACTGTTACACATTGTTCTTCTCTTCCCATATACCCTACCTACTGTGAGTTCTTATTGTCACAGTGGAATTTATTTATTTACTGTATTTGTAGATTTTTTTAAACCCACCTTTTGTTCAGGAACTCAAGGAGCATACACAGTGCTCCTTCCTCCCATTTTTTCCCACAACACTGTGAAGTAGATTGGCCTGAGAGATAATCACTCAGTGGAGGAGGTTTCTTCCATGGGACAGAAGGAGACTTTAAGCCTTGCCTTCCACGTAAAACTGGTTAGCCCTTTCCTACCAGGTCCACCTTCTAATGATCAGAAAGGTACGTTACGGTAAGTCCAACTATTATTTATTTCTTGCTTATTTCTGGCAGATGTTGGATGATACTCCTCCGTCTCTCCCTGCTGTCCTTGGGGAGAAGCCTCCAATTTACTGCAATCTGGAGGAGATGAAGCAATTACCAACAACACCCCCTACCCCACGCAGCCCACCATTACAGGTGCTGGAAGCCTGGGAACGTCATATAGACTCCAGCTCCCTGCGCAGTTACTACTATAAGCCTGCAACAGGTGAAAAGTCATGGAAGCCACCCCGGAGGAGCCAAGAGATGGTGAGAAGCTAGAGTTGTTGTGGGGGACATCCATGCTACCTAGCCTCAGCAACCAAATCCTCATCACCGATCGTTTTGTGCCTTTATCCAGCAAGCATTTATTTGGCAAATATTGAGTTGATACCCTCAGTATTTCCCATCAAATGACTTCTCACTTGCTACCGTTCTCTTTAGGGATGTCCTTTCATGATGAGGATCCTTGAGGAGCCAAAAAAAAGAATTAAAAAGTGACGGGAGGGACCTGCCACAAAATCTTGCGGGTGGTGTAACCCAGTTCAGGCAATAACTCCCCTCTCTCAAATACACCATTCTGTTCTTTCCGCTTGATTTCTTCCCATCCCCATGAAGCAATCAACATTCTGCAGCTGTAGAACGTGATAGTTTCTATTGGACTGTTCTAGCTTAGTTGTTTATTATTTATTTGTTTGATTGATGTCTTACTCTAATTGGAAGGGCTCAATAAGGCAGCTTCCTTGGTGATTTCCCTTCATTTTATCCTCACAGCAGCAAATCTGTGAGGAGTGCTGGACTGAGTGGCCCAAAATCTCCCAGAAATTTTTCTGTAGCTAAGAGTAGACTTAAACCTGGGTCTCCCCTTCTTAGTCCAACAGCTGCTGCACTACGCTGGCTAAATCACTTAGCATTTTCTTTCCCTATTGTTGTATTTCTGCAAATTCTTGGGGCTCCCTCTTGCCTGCTGATACTTCCTCCTTTTGTATGGGCAATGTGGTTTAGCTATATAAGGATTCATGCTCAAGTAATGAATTTGCTAGTGGCGCCTAATACTTGTACTAATTATTAATATTAGTACCGGGTACTAAGAGATGCCTGGTACTGATACTAATACTGTTTTCTCCAGCTAAGGGATCTCTGTACTTGATAGGATGGAAATAGTTTTGACTTTAATAGCTGAGATTTATGTTTCAAAAATCAAATCCAGGTGCACTGGCTCTTGTAAGGCTGAATTCATACATTGTTCTAATAGTGTGGTTTATTTGGCTGTGGTTTAGCATGTTTGATTTAGCCATAGTGGTTTGTAAAAGATGGTTTATGGTTCAGTCTTGTCTAAACCCAACCAATGTGTGAACTCAGACTATTAGAATAAGAGTGATAAAAATAGCATAAAATCTGGCATGTTAGAAATATTTCAGTGAGAACTTCATTCAGTAAATCTCCATTCAGCTGTTAAATGAACTTGGGCCAGTTGTACCCACTTCCCCAGGTTAATCTACTTCTTGGGGCTGTTGGGAGAAAAGAAAGAAAGAAAAGCCATATAGTGGGATATGCAGCTCTATGTTTTGGGATGGAAGCATCAGCAAAGTGAGTGATGCGTGTGTCTGTGTCTGTGTGAAGAACAGTGGTCAATTCATTTTTGGTATGCATGTAAGACAGGTCAGAAGCTTACACAGGTATGGAAGTTACAGTTCAGTTCCGCAGTTCAGAGGTCCAGCTAGGTAGCATTAGGCTCTTGAAAGAATGATAGGCTTTGCTTCATGTACTGTGTTTTGAAATAAGTCAACATTACTGTCTTTGGGGGAACCTTCTGGAGTGGTCCTGAGAGCACTGGGGTGGGGGATGTTCCCAGTTTGTAAATGAAGCCCTGAGATTACTCAGCTATTGACGGACACCTGCCACCAACATGTCCCTTCTAGAGGCTGCCTCTCGAGCTCATTGCTCTCTGGTACCTGAAGCCAGACTTCTGCTTTGGGCCATCAGCCAGATGCCTGAGAAATGCTGCAATAATTTCTCTAATGAGGAATTATTGTGTGCTCTGTCAGAGCAGAGGGCACGTGCTTGATAGCTAGTCTCTAAGCCCATTCCCATTCCCATCCCCCCTCCCAACGTCCCCTTGTCGCATCCCCTGTGCTGGCAGCCCATGCTTTGCCCATCTCAGCAGAGGAGGCCAGAGCATAGGAAAGCTGTGGGTCAAGAGTGACAGCATGGGGGCCCAGATTGGAAAGAAATAGAAGGCTGTGGATCAAATTGGCAAGAGCCGGAGCAAGGAAGGGTAGCAGCAGCTGGGCGTGTGCCTGCCTCTTGTCCTGCTCTCTTAATAGAAAGTCCTCTCTTTCTTTTTTCCCCCTCCCCTTTTCTGTGTTCTTGTTTTCCCAGAGCTTGGTACAGATAGAGGGAAATGGTCTCTCTGCTCCAGCAGATCCTGTCCCAGGAGCAACCATGGACCAAATGGAAGACAGGGTGAGCGGGGAGCAGCCTGAGGCTCAGAGTTTCCGCATCAGGGACAAAAAGCTGGGATATACCAAATCCTTGATGCTGCCAGAGACACGGCTTCCCAAGGTAAGGCATGGGCATAATGGGATCCCCTGGGGTGGTACGTTCTGGAGGACAAAACAGATGCCTCTGCCAAAAGTGTTTGCAGAATGGAAAGGTTAATCTGCATCCCCTGGCATGAAAGGAGAGATGTGTGTGAAGGAGAGTGCAGGATAGTAATCACTAGTGCAAGTAGGTGTATAATTTTAAACACTGAACTTAATAGTCCTATACCCTAAATAACCATTACAATGTGCTGCAGAAAAGGGAGAGAGGAAGAGAGAGAGAGAGAGAGAGAAGGGAGGGAGGGAGGGAAAGAGAGAGAGAGAGAGAGAGAGAGAGAGAGAGAAAGAAAGAAAGAAAGAAAGAAAGA